CTCAAATAGTTGAAGAAATCTTGAGAAAGAAGAACAAGTAGGTTGGATCCCAATACCAGATATCAAGCTGTATTACAAAGCCACTGTTCTTAAAACAGCCTGGTACTGGCTCAAGAACAAACATGTAGACCAATGGAATATAATAGAGAACCCAGAAATTGACTCAAAACAATATGTTCAATTAATATTTGAGAAAGGAGTCACAAACATACAATGGAGTCAAGACAGTCTCTTCAACAAATGGAGTTGGGAAAACTAGACAGATACATGCAAAAAAAATGAAGCTAGATCACCATCTTATACCATACACAAAAATAAACTCAACATGGATAAAGAACTTAAACATAAGATGGGAAACCATAAAAATACTAAAGGAATTCACAGGCAGCAAAATCTGAGATATATGCCAAAAGAACTACTTCACTGATACTATTTATAGAGCAATGGAAGCTAAAGAGAAAACAAACAAATGGGACTAGATCAAAATAAAAAGCTTTTACACATCAAAGGACACCATCAATAAAACAATAAGAAGGCCCACTACATGGGAGAACATATTGGCCAATGATATTAGTGATAAGGGTTTAATCTCCAACATTTACAAGGAACTCATGCAGGTTAACAAAAAGAACATAAACAATCCAATAAAAAATGGGCAACTGATCTAAATAGACATTTTTTGAAGGAAGACAGAAGGAAGGCCAAGAGACATATGAAAACCTGCTTAAAGTCATTAATCATCAGAGAGATGCAAATTAAAAGAACATTGCGTTACAATCTCACACCTGTCAGAATGGCTATCATCAACAAATCAACAAATCACAAGTGCTGGGGAAGATTCAGAGAAAAAGAAACCCTAGTGTACTGCTGGTGGTAATGCAGACTGGTGCAGCCACTGTGGAGAACAGTATGGAGTTTCCAAAAAAGTAAAAATGGAACTCCCATTTGACCCAGTGATCCCACTTCTAGGAATATATCCCAAGAAACTAGAAACACGAATCAGAAAGGATATATGCACCCCTTTGTTCATAGCATAATTCACCATAGTTAATATCTGGAAATAGCCTAAATTTCCATCAGCAAATGAGTGGATTAAAAAACAATGGTACATCAACCAATGGAATACTATGCTGTGATAAAGAAGAAGGAGTTCTTACCATTTGCAACAACATGGATGGAATTGGAGAGCATTATGCTAAGCAAAATTAGCCAGGCAGAGAAAGATAAACATCACATGATCTCACTCATTTTGTGAAATATAACGAACAACATAAACTGATGAACAAAAATAGGTCCAGAGACAGAGAAACATCAATCAGAACGTCAAACCTCAGGGAAGGTGGGGGTCAGGGGGAGTAAAAGGGAGAGACCAATAGAGGAACTGTGTGCATGCATATGAGCCTAATCAATGGATACAGATGACAGGGGAGTGGCACATAGGAATATATCAGATAAATAAATAAATTACTAAACCTTTTGAAAGAAAAATATATTAAATCTAATCTATATAAGTAGTCACCACAACCTTAAGAGAAATTGTTTTATCTGACAAATATTTTAAAATGAAACTCTCTGTAGCCTGAAAATTATCATGGAAGGAAATTAAGAGATGTTTCCTTCAAAAGTGGTAAGGATTGTAATTGAAAGACAATATATTTGGCTTCTTGAACTAAAGTAAATAATTTGTGTGTTTGTCTCTCTGACAAAGTTCATATAAAGTTACAAAAAGAATTGACAGCCAGTTTGAAATTGAATTCCAGGGCCTAAAACAAAAAATATCCTTATATGATATTATCCTACAAAGTCATTATAATTTTTAATATTTTACAACAGCAAATTATTACCCCCAAAAAAACTTACAAACTAATTCTATGAATGTTTGGCTGCAATTTAAAAAAGGAAATGAAAGTATTTAATCCCGTTTAAGAAGGAATTAAGGCACCGGGAAGGCACTTGAGCATTCTATATTGGCCCCTCTTGCCCTTTTGGCCAAGAAAGACCCTCCTTTTACAATGCAATTGCCCACAGCTGTTACCTGAGCTTTCTGTTTATGCTGAGGATGAAACCTCATGGTGGCTGGTACCATGGATTTGTCTCTAACCCAATGGTGTGAGCTGGGCCCTTCCTGGAGAAGAAACCTGAATCCTCCAAGATATGTGATCAATGCTTGGGCCCGCCATCAGGCAAGGGGATCTTAAGACAGGAGCTGGGCGAGGAGACCATGGGGCCATAGGCTACCAAGGAGTCAGAACTGAACCTCAAATTACCCGGAGGATGGCTGGTTAGCCAGAGATGGGAAAGATTCCTCAGGGAAAGAATAACCTAATACAGGCACAGTCACAGAAGGGCCATCAGGAGAGAACATGGAGATCAACAGAGGTGGAGCACCACCCCTCACCGCCCCAGCCTTGCACGGACCTGAACCCTCACCCCTTCTGAGAGATGTCTCCTGCCCCCATGGCTGCTTCACTTCCCATACCCAGCTCAGATTGGGGACCAGGTAATGGACAGAGACTTGGCCCAGCTCACATTGAGACCCAGGTAACAGACAGAGACTTGGCTGACAGCAGCTACCCTATCTCTAAATCCAGCCTAGCGTCAGGAATGCTCAGGGCCTACTCAAGAATGCAAATAATCCTTTCCACTAATATTTATAGGGTAAAATAAGATTGTTGTTAGAGTATTAAATTTGACAGTAAAGTAGTAATCAAGTTTTCAGGTTAATTTAAATTGACTAATAGAAATAAGTGAACATCCAAGAAAATTTAAGTGTACTGGGTAAAAAGCTGTTCCTAATGTATTAACTAAAATTTCTATTGGTAGTGCATCTCACGGTAAAATTGCTTAACCTGAAATGAACCTAAAGCAGTCTTATTTTTGTGCAAAAAATTAAAATGTAAAGTTATCAAGACTGCATTACAAAATTTACAAAAGCATCCATTAATAAAAAAAAAAGGAGGGATAGTAAGGTGATATCATATAAGGAAAAATATCCTGTAAGTAAATTACATCTAGAAAATTTTTATTGTAGAAAATTAATTTTTCTTTGTATTGCTAACAGCAAGACACCCATGAAAATCACACATGGTGTCAGATTAAGCCAAAGGAAAATCGTTTGGGCAAAAATAAAAAGGATTCCAAGTCAATTTTATAGGAAATATTCCTTATTAACTTTTGGTTAAGAATATGTTTGTATATTTTCAGAAAACTACTCTAAGACCATGGGGATTCCTGCAACAGAGAGGAGGTTTCCAGTCTGCTCCAAACCATGAAGACAAGAGGAGAAACAGTTCAGAGATGGAAAACACTGACAATGCCTTGCCACACTAGCAGTCAGCAGCTGTGTGTCAATGCAGGTTGCTCAGGATCAAATCAGAGAGAGTGGGACCTGCATTGCCACCATCTGTCCATCATCCAGATGTCATTGCTGACATGAACACATAATGAACTATTTGACCAAACTGGATCTCAGAACTGTTGGACATTGAAATTGGGACTCTTACATTTTTTTAAATTATTATATATTTATTTCTAGTCTACAGTTACAAGATTTAAAAAAAATGAAATGGGAAAAATAGATATAGAGGTAAAGAACCATTGAACAGACTGTCAAACTACAGTGGGAAGGCAGGAGAGGTTGAGGTAATGGGGGCTGTAAGAGTTCAACCGAAGGACTTGTATGCATGCATATAAACATAATCAGTGGATACAAGAAACTGTGTGTGTGGGGGCAGGTGAAGGCATATGTTGGGGGTAGGAGAGGCTGGGGAGAGTTCAAGGAGAAAAAAGGAGTATTTGTAATACTTCAAACAATAAAAAATAAAAAAATGTTTTTTAAAAAACAAAATGCCAACTAGAACATTGTGGTTACAATTGATGTATTCAGCAATCAGGACTTCATGATAGATATTTTATCCAATATAGTAGAAATATATTGCCTTGTTTACCCTGGCTATATTGAGGTATAATTTACTGAGATATATTTATTGAGGTATAAATAAATGACAAATATTTAAGATATACAAAAAGATGATTTGATATATGTATACACTGTGAAATGATTAACACTAATAAGCTAATTAACTCATTGTCACCTCCCAGAATTATCTGTTTTGTGTGTGTGGTGAGAATTCTTAAAATCTAGCCTTTCAGCCAATTTCAAATATACAATACAGTAGTATTAATTCTATTCACCATGCTGTACATTAGATCCCCAGGACCTATTCAACTTACTTTTATATTTTTATTGATTTCTAAGAGGAAGGGAAAAGGAGAGAGAATCACTGATTGGCTGCCCCATCTACATGCCACACTAGGGATCAAGCCTGTAACCTGGGCATGTGCCTTGACTGGGAATTGAACCACAACCTCCTGATTCATAGGTTGATGCTCAACCATTGAACTAACCAACCAGGCTCATTTTATAACTGAAAGTTTGTACTCTTGACAAACACCTCCCCATTCCTTCCATCCCACAGTCCTTGACAACAACCATTCTTTCTGCTTCTGTTAAGTTTGACTTTTTTAGATTCCCTTTATATGTGAGACTATACAATATGTATTAAATCCCCTTAACACCTCCTCCCATTTGAGGTCTGGAGGTCTTAATATTTCCGTTTAAGGCTGGTCACCCAGCAAATCCTCTTGCTGAGGCCTGACTGAGTTCCTGAATTCTCCCACTCTACATAGACCCTTTCAAATGACTCCATCTACCTTTCTTTAATTTCAGCCTAGGATACCTGTCCTCTGATCACCCAGGAGGCCAACCTTGGAGGCTTGAGGACTCGTCATACTCTGCCCAAATCCTAGCCCAGAGAGTGTGATTGGTCTTTTCTAAGAACTGTAAACCTCTACTTTTAATTATCGGGATTTTATTTTTGTTGTTGTGGGTTCTGGTGTGTGTGTGTGTGTGTGTGTGTGTGTGTGTGTGTGTGTGTGTGTGTCCTGGGTTCAAGTGATAGCACAAATCCCAAATGACATCAAGGTTAAACATAACTCACCGTCTTATTGCCTTCGGTTATGCGGTACAATACAAACTGGTTGCCACTTTTGCTTCCATCATTGTATTTCCTCAGAGCTGCATCCACAGCCTTAAGTAAATCCTCATCATTGCAGTCAAATTCTTGCTGTTGGTCCCCTTGGGCTAAACTTGTTAGCAGCGTGGTACAAAGGAAAAGGATGGCAATTAACTTCATGATTTATCAGTCTCCTTCTGGGAGTTTCACCAAGAATGGTTAGCTAACTTGGAGGCTGATGTTAACCCTCTTTAGACTCTTATCTCTTCTGTCTCTCCTCTCTGCCTTAGCACTTTAGGGTTCTGTTTGACTTCCTGCTGCCCTCCACTATTTGCCCTCTTATAAAGGACAAATGGCTCTGCTGGATTATCCAGGAAGATCTGAGGCTGGTACATTACAACACTGGGTTGTTGACCCGCTTGTTTGTATTTGGGAAGCATGTATGAGCACATTTCCAGGAAAGTGTACAACATTACATAGCAAATCAGAGTACAATCCAATAAAGGAGGAGAAAAAAACATCAAATACCTGTTATTCCATTTTCCAAATGACTTTCCCAAAGCTATTTATGTAGGTCACTACATGTGAAGAAAATGCAACCATGAGCAGACACCTTTCAATAAAATGTCCTTGCCCTCCTGGAGAGCCCATGCACAGGGACATAATGAGTACAGGGAGTCTCATACCAGGACATATGGCATGACTGAAAATTAAAAATGGGCATCCTACCTGTTCTCTGTCCAAGCTAGCCTTTCTTTAGGAAACTGGATCTGCTGTAGAAAGGAAAATGTTCCCCATGGTGGAGGAGACAGGGGAGAAACTTAAGGAGAGATGGTTTGAGTGAAGCCTGCTTACCCTGTCCTTCCTTCTTGTTTCTGGTTTGGTGGACTTTATAGGGGTCTTTCATTCACCAAGCCCAAGTGACCTTTCAGATCAAGCTAGAATATTCAGGGAAAGGAGCTCTAAAGATAGGTTAAAGATATGGGCTAGTAGATGTTGGTCTTACCTTTTCCCTCCAGAAAGATGTTTTACTTCTTTGTTGTTGATCTGGTTCCCAGCTTGGCAAGTTAATCTCCCTTGGAGCCCCTGAAAAAGAGGGATCCATGGGGAATGAGTGATGGCCTTGAAGCAGAGTGGCAGGAACATGAGTTTGGCATTAAACCGAGCCTTGATACCCATCCAGCTCTGCTACTTAATTAACTGCTATGTGTTCCTTAGCAAATCATGGTCATATAGCCTTTCTGAGCCTCCATCTCATCATCTGGAAAAGTGAAATATCATAATATCTTATGAGGTTTTCTGAGGAATAATGAGATGATATATTTTCAGAGCCTGGTAATTAGTTCATATAAGTTATATCTAATATTAGCGCTGTTTGGTTAAGAATCCTGACTTACTGAAGCAGTTTTAAGTGTGTGATGATGGCACAAGGTAGAATCTAGTTTGTGTGAGGGAGGGCCAGTGGGTGGTGGGAAATGTAGGAAATAAAAATAAGGATGAAAAAGAGTCTGTTAAGTTCTTAGACATGAAAGAAAGAGAGACCCACAAAGGTGGAGAAGCTGAAGGTGGAAGAAGGAGGAGATGACTGATGTGCAGGATCCAGGAGGAGTTGGAAAGGAGCACAGGGCTGATCAGGATGGGTGTTTCAAGTGAAGATTCCGAAACAGGACTTGCCAGTGTAAACTGAATGTTCCCGCCCAAACCTTTTGCGAGGGGTTTCAGGATATAAAGAAGAGGCCAATGCACAAGTGAAAAGAGTATGAATGTAGAAGGCATGGGGCCAGGTGGAGACCACTCTCTTGGGGAGGCACCCTGAAATCTAGCCTTGTCCACTTTTTATTCAATTTTAGATATATATCTTGCCCTCAATAAAGCACAGCAAACAGGTAGCAGACAGACTGTGTCTAAAGTCAATAAAGGTCATAAAGTCAGTTAAGGTCCAATAAACATTCACTTTGAGGTTATTAGGTCAAGAAATTTCTTTGAGTCACCGCTATCTCAACACAGCCCTGATAATGCACAAGGTCTTCAGCCTTCCACATTCCTTGGCCCACTCTTATGACAGTACTGGGAAAGTGGTGGCTGCCCGAATCTACCTGTTTTTTTTTTTTCTTAATGAATCTTGAGGAGTGTATGCCTTCTGTAGGGCTTGAGTCCTTTTAAGACTCTTCATTCTGCATCTGCAGACTAGAAATAAACATATAAGAACAAAAAATGAGGCAGACAATAGTGGTTATTTTAAGAGGGAAATGTAAGGAGATTCAATGAAAAGGGTTTTATGTTCTTTTAAATTGCTGCCAGGGATCAAAGGAACCAGTTTGTAGTAGGCTTCTTTCCCCTGTGACAAGACAGCAATGATATTCGAGTCCTGGATGGTGGACAAAGGGGGCAATGACAGTGCAGGTTCAACCTTCTCTGGGTTTGTCCTGGGCAATCTACACCATCGCAGAACTGATGACTGCTAGCATGGCAAGTCTTCTTTACCATCTCCCAGATCATCTTTGGAGTATTCCTTCTCTGTCTAGTTCTCCTCCTTTTCCTTATCTTTAGCTTATTGCTTAGGGCTACTGATATCTGTGGCTTGATTAGTTGATTGTCCACAGCCGCAGGTACAGGATGAGGCTCCAAATGCAAGGTCCTCATTAGTCTGGAGTCCATGTTAAAGTTTAATATTCCTTATAGGAATCCACACAGGCTTGCAGGAGTTTTCTGGAAATATACTTGCATATACTTGACCAAAGTTTAACAAAGGGACCTTCCATAAACCAGATTCTGGATCTTTCCATTTCACCAAACCATTTTCCTTTGGCTTATTCTGATACCGGTATAATTCCATAGGTGTCTTTCCATCAGCATTACAAGTGAAAAAATTTAAAATAATTAAGTCTCGGTGTAGTCTACTTTTGGAGATTTTACCACTAATCCCCATTTTTTGTTTTTCAAGTTGGGATTTTAGTTGCAGATGTTGGCATTCTATAATTGCTTGTCCTTGGGAGTTGTATGGTATTTGTGTAATGTGCTGAATCTTCCACTTTTTACCAAATTGCTGGAAATGACAGCTTGTGTATACAGGTCCATTATCAGTTTTAACAATGTTTGGAATTCCCAGGATGGCAAAAGCCACTAAGCAATGATTAACCACCTCTTTTGCCCTTTCCCTTGTAGCTGCAGTGGCCCATAGGACCTTTGAAGAAGTATCTACAGAGACATGCAATGTCCCAAGGTGTCCAAAAGGAGTATAGTGTGTTATATTTATTTGCCAGATATGGTCCCTTATCAATCCTCAAGGGTTAATTTCTGTATTAGGTCCTTGAGGCAGATGGAACATGCAAATGAGACATTCTTTGATAATATGTTTTGCCTGCTGTTGAGTGATTGAGAATTGTTTAGACAACATTTTAAAAGGCTGATGTAAAAGCTAATGAGACTCTGTGAACTGTTTTAATAAAGCAATGATTCATTGGTATATGCATTTCCTTTTGTTAAGGGACCAGGTAGGGTAGTATGATCTCTGATAAAAGGAATATAAAAGGAGTATTATCTTTGCTGTACAATTTGCTGTACCTGTTTAAATAGTATAAATAGACTTTGGTCACTGAGCCATCTTAATCGAGCAGTTTCAATTCAGTTTACCAGGCCAGTAATATTAACAGAATCAGAAATAATATTAAGAGGTTCTTGGAAATCCTGCAATGCAGTCTTGATAGCTTCTAATTCAATTATTTGCACAGAAGTATGACTGATCTGAATGACACAGTCTGAATTCATTGCATGATAAGCGGCTTTACCATTAGATGAACCATCAGGAAAATCAGTTAAAGCTCTAGGAATAGGTTCCTACCTACCTATTTATTTATTTATTTATTTATTTATTTATTTATTTATTTTAGTATAAATAATAGGGGTATAATATAAAAATTGTAGTAACTTGTTTTTTAGTAGGTGACAACCAAGTTCCCCTAAATATTCACTTATTTCAATTTGCCAATTCAAATCAGTCTGAAATAACATTTCTCATTACTTCTCTGTGCAGGAAAGATAGATGCATTAGAGTTCTTCTCCTCTAAACTGCCTGCAGCACTTTCTGAGTTGAGATATTAATTGAGCCATGAGTTCTATATATGTAACCACAGTTTTAGAGGATTGATGCCCTAGCTGGACCTACTCAATAATAGTAGGAGAATTTTTATTTTGGAAGATGACTCTAGTCAGACTATTTGTAGTAGGGTTAATCTTTCCTAATAAAGGCAATTCAGGCTGTACCTGTGCTACTTGGGCAGAGGAGATTGCTTATTCCTTTCTTAATAACTCCTTTCTAGCTTCAACTGTTAATGTTTGGGGTGAGGAAAGATTAGAGTCAGCCCTAAGTATATTGAATACATTTGTCATTTTTCCTATGGAGATTTTTAGATAAGATCTTAATGTTCTCTAATAACTTTTGAAAGTCATTTAAGGTTTTAAGGCAATCCTTTTGTATTTCTACATTTTAAGGCCTAATACATTGGTTTTTAATTATATTTCCTAGATATTTGGAGGGCATTTGCCTCTGTATTTCCTCCCAGAGCAGTTTCTAACCCACATTTAGGGATTTTCTTTTCTAATTGGGTAAGCATTGCTAAAGTCTGCTTTTCCTGTGGGCTTATCATAAATCACTATATTAAAGACTTTTACTTTCTTTTAAATAGAACAACTAAGTTGGTTGCCTTTCAGATAAACAGGAAGGAGAGAGTCATGCTGGCCAACACTGCAATGCATACATTTCAAGTAAGAGTGAACTTTCTTTTTTACTTATTATGTCTCAATAATGGTGAGATTGAATGCTCAAATAATAATTTTGAGTTTATTTTTTAAATAGTAGCGTGAGGGATTTAAAAATGTCTTCTTTTTATGAAGCTTAAATTTACTTTCAAACAGCATTCTTTTTGGCTAGTGCTTATTTGCATATGTATGCAAATGCTACTTTGGACTTTACTAGTACCAATTGTTCATAAAATATTGGTTTCTCACATAAGTGAGTTTATATGAGACCTTGATTATATTGTGAAAATCTACCTTATTAAAGAATGCACCTTTATTGAAAAAGCCAAGTAAGCAAACCTATACTTTTGATCTATGAAGTATAGATGCTGCCCCACTCCCAATCCAATTTGAAGAGCAGGCTGGGTGGAGGACTGAGGCATTATGTATGCTCCTGTCTTAAAATTCCACTGCTGAATATTCTGGTTTTGCTTAAGAAGTATTCAACAATCTTGTCTTGCCCTCCCTTTCTATATTAACCATGTACTCTGTGCTTGGCAGGGGAGACAAGGGTAGTGGTCTATCCCTGTTTAAACTCCCCTGAGATTTTATGACCCTTTGACAACTTTTGCAAAGAGTTAACTTTGGAACTTATTTATTCTTTTAATATTTCTTTCCCCCCCCTTCTCATTGAATACAGAACCTTCACAAATTTCACACTTTCAAATTAGCCTTCAAACCTTCTATCTATGTCCTTCAAAATGCATAACCATACCTTAGACCTTCCCGTAAGTATTTCTACTCTCAATTTCTTTATCATATCATCAGCAACTTGTACAGACCTTTTTCTTCTTTTTCTTTTATAATAAAATGTATGTCCTGTCTTCTATTATTAAAACCACATAATATTTAAACTTTAATTTTCCAATGATAATTAAAAGCAAATAGCATTTCTTAGATTGTCATTTTTGAATATTCTCACCTTTAAGAAATATATTTTTAGATTTTCTCTATTAAAAGGTAAAACTAGGTAAACTTAAAACTTGTTGGAATAGTAGATGTTTGTTGTTTAATTCAGCAAAGTGCTAAAATCTTTAAGTTATCAAGGACTTTGAAAAATTATGTATAAGCATATGGGTCTGGTGAAAAGGCAGGGGAGGAGGGAACGGACCTCCAGCTGTTTGGACTTAAACTACTACACTCCTACGTAGAGATAACATCTAAGGTTACTGCTGCAGCTTCTCTGCATTTATAGGGAGAAGGGCAACTAGCTCTTTACTCTAACAGAGTATAGTTAGTCTCCACTTGAGTGACTGGACTTCCATTATTAAATATTTATAATTATTACTGAGAAGCTTTATTACAAATCCTTCATTTTAGTTATATCTACTTATTTATGTTTAAAAAACTTTGGGATTTTAAAGCCAATTATTATTATAGAAGAAATTTTCTTGTTGGCAAATCTGTAATGGAGATAAATTATTGTCTTTCAGTGGCTTTAATGTTAAAGTTTTATTTTATTTTATTTATTTTACTTTACTTTACTATTTTATTTTATTTTATTTTATTTTATTTTTTTATTTTATTTTATTTTATTTTATTTTATTTTATTTTATTTTATAAAAACAGGAGTGCCCCAGGGATCTGTGAGGCAACCTTTGAATGTGGTCCACTATTATTCAAGAATTACCCATTATGGCCAAAACTGGTTTAGCTCAGTGGATAGAGCGTCGGCCTATGGACTGAAAGGTCCTGGGTTCGATTCCCATCAAGGATATGTACCTTGGTTGTGAGCACATCCCCAGTAGGGGTGTGCAAGAGGCAGCTGATCGATGTTTCTCTCTCATCGATGTTTCTAACTCTCTATCCCTCTCCCACTCTGTAAAAAATCAATAAAATAAAAAAACTAAAAAAAGAATTACCCATTATTATGAAAACAATGAATCTTGTTGCCCAAACACAGCCTGTATATTTTCCTTGTGTTATTTTTGCTATCTTTTAAAGAAAAATAGTCTGCGGCCTATTCTGTGGCATCCATGAAGAGATCCAAGAGGCCATCCAAAATCAGGCTGGGCACGCCTTCTCTTAAGCTAGCCTTTTTCTCTCCACAGGTATAGAAATCCCAGGCACATTCCTAACTTTTGAGTCTTGTCTCCATCCATCCAAATTTCAACTGATGGACTGGGAAATAAAAAACATGGTGAAAATGAGACTTTTAAGAACGCACCTGAGAGCAGGAATTCATTTTACAGGATCACTAAGATTCATAGTAATTAATGTGCTGGGGGCTTTTTTAGTTACCTCTACTTTGTCTAGGGAATTTTCCTAGAATTTGTGTTATCGGCCACAGGTATCACTGATATTATTTCTCCCCATCCCTACATTCTGTTTTCTCTGAGGAAATTTAGTAATGGCTTGGCCATCTGTTGTTTCTTTTATATTAAATTAAAGGCATGCTTGAAGACTAATTAATAAATACATTAAACGAAACAATAAAAGACAGTTGAGTGCACATAACACATAGACAAGACTTAATAAATCAGAGTTCGTTTCATGGATCTTTCAGATGTTTTACATTGCCTGGGACTTACAGCCAGAATGCGGTCTAGATCTCAGCCTGTTGTTCACAGATCTTATTCTATTCTGCTCTCCATAGCATTGACTGGCATCTAAAGTCATTTTAGCTAAAATCTGCCAGTCCCACGGCGTCATATGATGATTTTCAGACAAAGCATTAGAGATTTCTTTTGCAAAAGGTCTGTTAGTCCCTTTTTCTCTAGTGGATGAGAATTCCCACACTAGAGTCAGAGGTTCCTGGACATTAGGTTTTACTGACTTTTGATCTCCAATACAAAGTGAGCATAATGTAGTTCAATCAAGAGCCCACATAGTTAAAGATCAGTAGGGTACTTGTTTTACTGATTTAAGAGAGTACTTTTTGACACCTTAGTTCCTTTATCCTGGAGCATTAAAGCTAAAAATTTAGTGTTGTTTTTGCCTTTTACTCAAATTCTTCCCCATTATAACCTAGCTGAATCAAAATGTTCCTCATCCACTTACATTTGAGATTCTAAAGCTTGCACTGGCTTTGTGCTCGGTGAATTTCCACTTTTCCTTTTTCACTTAGTTTTCTGTTCAGGCTAATCTTCTCCTCCAGATTTCTGATCATGGAGCCAGAATGTCTCAACCTTTTGTGGTGGGGGTTCAGGATCTGAAGAGCGGGCCAACACATAAATGGAAATACTTTATAAGAAATATGAATTTATTAGATCTAGTAATAATTAATGTCGTTTTCTAATACTTTTTTAAATCGAATTTATTTAAACAATACAACAAAATTTAATCAACAATATAGTTGCCGTTGTTTTCTACTACTTGTGCCCAATGCTCAGGAAGCATTTTAATCCCTCTGTTGTAAAATTCTTGTGATTTTGATGCAAAAAATTCGGTCAATGCATTTTTGAGGCATTCTTCATTATTAAATTTTTTTCCAAGAAGAAAGTTTTGCAAAGAACGAAACAAATGGTAATCGGAAGGGGCAATATCAGGAGAATATGCAGGTTGAGGGAGAACTTCCCATTCCAACTAGCGCAGTTTTTCAGCAGTGATTCTTGCAGTAAGCGGTCGTGCGTTATCGTGGTGAAGAATTACGCCCTTCCGATTAATCAGCGCGGGTTCTTTTTCTCTTAAAGCTTGGGCTAACCTTTCCAATTGGGCACTATACACTGCACCTGTAATGGTTTGGTTAGATGGTAAAAGTTCATAATGAAGAATTCCTTTAAAATTCCACCAAACACACAACATCACTTTTTTCGCATGCAAGTCAGGTTTTGGAGTGGGCTGCGGAGCCTCATTTTTGTCCAACCATTGAGGCCGCCTTTTCAAATTAACATACAGCACCCATTTTTCATCTCCGGTAACAATTTGCTCTAAAAACAGCAAACGGTTTTGACGAGAGAGGAGCGAACTGCAAATTGTGACTCTTTGATTACGGTTGTTGTCGGTCAACTCATGAGGAACCCATTTTTCAGACTTTTGGACTTTGCCAAGTGCACGCAATTGATTGGAAATTGTTTTTTGTGAACAATTTAAAGTTGTCGCAAGCTCTTGTTGGGTAATTTGAGGATTTTGCACCAAAAGAGCTTGAAGAGCTTCTTGATTAAAATTGGACACACGGCCTCGGCCTCTCTTGTCATCTAACGAAAAATTTCCCTCGCGAAATTTCTCATCCAACGCTGGCATTTTCTGGCGCTAACTGCATCTTGACCAAAAGCACTACAGATGTTTTTTGCAGCCTCACTTGCTTTTCTTCCTAATTGGAACTCGTAAAGCATGCAGTGCTGAATATGCTCTTCATCCGCCATCTTCTTAGCCCTAGTTTTGCAACAAAAACCAAACCAAACACAAACTTTTTCAAGCAAAACTTGTTAATTGCACTTCACACGTTCTGTAGATACCACGTGTTTGAAGGTTATGTCAATACAAGTCAACGCCAAGCAAGATTTTAAACGAATGTTTAAAAACGACATTAATTATTATTAGACCCGATAGAAGGCATGGGGGCCAGGTGGAGACTTCTCTCTTCGAGAGGCACCCTGAAACCTGGCTTTATCCACTTTTTATTAAGTTTCAGATACACAGGGCAAAGAGTAGCAGATTATTGACCTTATAGTTAGTAAGGTCCAGTAAACCTTTACTTTGAGGCTATCAGGGCAAGGACATGCTGTGAGCCACCGTTATCTCAACACAACCATGCTGATACCCAAGGTCCATCGGCCTTCCACGTTTCTTGGTGCACTCTTATGATAGTATTGGCAAAGTGGTGGCTTCCCCAGTTCATCTTGACCTGCGGGTTAAAATCTTTGTCAACATGCTGTAAATAATTAATGGGTTTTGGGGACAGAAAATTGAGACATGCCTCTGATGAGTGGGTGAAACTGTGAGTTGCACAAATCTGGATATTTCTAGTAGGTACAAGGTCCAACATGCTTTTGAACATAAGCTCTGTTTCATTCATGGGTGTGCTGGGTAGGGTTAGCAGTAAAGTAATTTTCCTCTATCTGCTGGCCTGTTACAGCCAGGAATTTCTACCATTGTTCTCAGTTGTTGGATTATAGTGCTAGAAGTCTTCAGCAGAAAACAGCTATATTATTTAAGGGAGGACCTGAGTTCAGGTAGAATAAAATGATTAAGAGCCTATTGCTTTGGAGTCAAATCTGAATTTCAACTTTGCATTGTTACCCTCTTCCTGTGTGATGCTGGGGAAGATATGAAACGAATTCGAATCTTTGTTTCCTCATATATAAAACTTAAAAAGTAAATAATATAATTCTTTTTTAAAATACATTTTATTGATTTTTTACAGAGAGGAAGGGAGAGAGATAGAGAGCTAGAAACATTGATGAGAGAGAAATACTGACCAGCTGCCTCTTGCACACCCCCTACCGGGGATGTGCCCGCAACCAAGGTACATGCCCCTGACTGGAATCGAACCCGGGTCCTTTCAGTCCGCAGACCGACACTCTACCACTGAGCTAAACCGGTTTTGGCTAAATAATAATTCTTGGCACAGATTCAGATGCTGAATAAATGAAGTTATTGAGATTATTTTCGTTGTTATTATTATTATTGTGCCTGAGAAGAAGTTGAGGATACCAGCTATCATTCCAGTTCCCCATGTCTCTCAAAAGTATGCCAAAAATATTGGTTCCTGTTGAAGAGAACTGTGGTGAAGGTAGAAGTCAAACTATTTGATGCCCACTCATCCCAGAGAAGGAGTTAGATGGAATACACCTCTAGCAGAGGAGCTGAGCAGTGTGGGACAGAGCTGGGCTTAAGCTGACCCCTCAGCCTTATTCCTCCAAAGAAACCAATATACCTATATGGATCCTTCATACCAGGAGAACCCAGTAACATCAGACCAGAGGGAATCAGTTCAGATTCCTTTCCCACTTAGACAACATCTTCCCCTCTGCTCTCTTCACCGGAATGAGTGTCTATAAGTGTCCACAGCAATGGTTTTCAGCCTTATCTAGAATCGACTGAGAAGTTTTCAAAAGTCCTTATCTCCAGGCCTCCCTTGAGGAGGCCTGGACATAAGGCCTCCTCAGGGGAGGCCTGGACATAAGGCCTCCCCTGAGAGCAATACAACCTGGATCTTTGGTTATTTAACCCATGCGTTGGTAGTTTTGAAACTCCAAAATGATTCACATGTGCAGTCAAGGTTGAGTACTATGGGGGCTCCAGACAAAACCTGGAAGGAGTTTGAAGAGAGAGTGAAAGGGCAGGGTATAACACACAAAAAGCAGACCATACTTCCCAGAATCATAGATTGGCTTAAGGAGTGCTAAAGGTGGAAGGGACACATTTTGATTTTTGTTTTATATTGAACTTTTAATATTAACAACACTATCTTGTAAATACCTAAACAGTACCACTCCAGTGCAACTTAGAATGACTGGAAAAGTATGAAATCTGGCCCAGGTGTTATTAAGGGGATCTCACAAAGGTGGGTTTTGGGGATGCTATTGATTAAAAACAAAACTTTTTATGCTTCAGTGAGTTGTATTCCTTAATTAAATCTTTCAATTTTTGCTGTATTGGTCATGTCCACTATTGAGCACTCTGGACAAACCAAATGCTGGTGAAGAGAAATGAATGGGACAGGGAAAAGTCACCAAGGATAAGATAAGCTCTTCCTACAGCACTGTTTTG